CAAAGGTCAAGGTCAAAGGGTTCAAATTGTTAGTATCAGAAGAAAGTCTTGTCACAAGGAATGCACATGTGAAATAAAGAAATCCCTAGTAATTCCTGTTCAAAAGTTAATTGCCAAGGTTAATTTTTTTGTTTAAGTGGTTCAAACTCTAGGGTCAAGGTAAAACATATTTATACCTGTTGACAGTTCACAATGAATACAATATGTCATGATAAGTATGAAAGCCCTAGCACCTACTGATCAAAATTTAGGCAGAGTTTAAAGTTTGGTATTTTTCTTGTAAAAATGTGTATCCCATGTCAAGCGATCAGAGGTAAAAATTAATGGTACCCAAATAAAAGGTCTTATTAAATTGTCACAAGAAATAAACCTATAAAATGTGGAAGCTATTTGTATAGCCCATCCCACTTAAAACTTATGGGCAAGCTAGCTAGGATTTAATTTCTGCAGACTTATAGACAGACATACTATAAACACAAGAAACAAAATATGTATAATAATTAGTCAAATGGAAAAAAAAATATACTATTTAACTGGAATCACAAAATACATTGTTATTTCAGGGACAGGAAGTGGGTAGGAAGATTGGAATCCCCCCCCCCCCCCCTATGGCATTTGCTTTATTTAAACAAGACTATATACTGTAGCAAGTAAAAAATGACTCTTGACATCCTCTCCCTATAAACTTAGAAAACATTGACCTCACTATCATTGTTTTTTTATTTGTTTATTTGTTTTCATTTTTTTTCTCCGGCTTGTCACGAAATTCTGGGCTGGAATTTTTTGACTGAGATGTGAACCCCCCTCCCTACTCCCGAAAAAAATTCTGGATCCGCACCAGTATTGGCAGTAACTGAAAGTCACATCGACAACGGGAGATAACTTCACAATATGAAATTTGTCTAGTGTGGCACGCGATGATCTTTGACCCTTTTTAAACTTTAACCTAATCGTTTGGGTGTATTTTACCCCCCACTATACTAAAACTTCTACTTACCGACTCCCTGTGTCTCGTCAACTTCATGAAATATAAATCCAATTACCGGTATAACACAAAATGAATATTAATCCAATGCACACCAGACTGCAGCCATGTGCCATTTTGGCGAACCTTCGTCGATTCCATCACCTTATCAGATGAAGTGGGTATCGGCCGAGGTGTGCCAAATGGTGTTTAATCTATAAATATGATAATGGGTGACGCAACGTGATGTGATGAAGAAATTTACATGTTCACATGTATAGTACAAGAACAAATTTTAAATTAATTCATAACAAACGATATTAAATTTTAACAAACCTTTTCCATCTAGCCTATTCCAAAAAGTATGTGCTGTGTGATTGTGGTGTCGAGGGGGGGGGGGGGGGGGGGGGGGGGGTAAAAATTTAAAAAGGTCCTATTATGAGCAAAACATATATCAAAATCTAATTTCAGACGCGGATCCAGAAAATTTTTTTCCGGGTGGGGGGGGGGGGGGTCCACCTCAGTCAAAAAAAAATCCTATCCAAGAAATTGACAATCAAAAAAAAAAAAACCTAAAGTAAATCTCACCCAAACGTCAAAAACCTATATCGTGGGGGGTGGGGTGGGGGTAGTGGTGACTTCTATTGCCGCAAATGTTTAACTTTTCATACCTATTTTACACATATTCGTGTTTACCAGGGGGGATCTGCATTTTCCAAGGGGGGTCCATTGTAACTTTTTCCTTGTTTTAGTATATACATTTTTTAACCTTGTAAATTCCAGGGGGGGGGGGTCCGGACCCCCCCCCCCCCCCCCCCCCCCCCCCCCCCCCCCCCGACAGATCCGTGAATGAATTTACATCATTAATAAAATTCAGACTGGTATATAATGAATTAAGCATGTATAAAATAAATATAAGAGGTTCTGGATTATAGGTCACAGGGTCTGAGAATTTCATACTCAATTTGATGAATACATGTAAATTATAGAATTATTTTGACTATTTCTTTGGAAAGCCGCCCAATATGTAGGAGCGTGTATTTAGAGGCAAACACCTTAGTGCGGGTATTACTGTCTCATGACAGCATCTAGTTGACGGAAGCTATTGTGACGTACGGTCGGCAAAACAGTATACAATTTAGATTTAAGTTTTATCAACCAATCAAAAGTAAATTATTTAAGAAATGAAGATAATTTCAACTTATGTTATACGATATAACATAACTTGGGGCAGTTTTTGCTTTATAAACCGCGAAGCGGTTAATAAAAAAAGCGTAAACTGCCCCAAGTTTTGTTATATCGTATAACATAAGTTGAAATTAGCTTCATTCCTTATAATTTAATTTCAGTATACACAATAAGACGATTTTTCCTCCAAAATAAGGCTTCAATTAAATTGAGCATTATTTTTAAAGTAACGTAAAGCGGAGTAATACGTTTTTTACGTAACTCATTGTGACGTAGGCAAGTTATGTTATAAAAATATTATATGTTCCTCTGAATGATTCAGCCAATGAAATTGCTTGATATAAGTGAAATTAAATTATTATGTGATATTAATAAAACTTGTCTTCATATTTTAGATGAAAACGGACAGTTTTAGCTGTGTTAAGAATTGTGGTCGTCTGAGATATTTTGGATCAAGTTTGGACTGTGTGGACATGGAAGAGAGTATATGGATAGCGTTGTGCAAAAGAAATCAAATGTGTGGAGTGAAAAATTGAAATATTTATTACCTAACCACTGTGATTTATCTTCTTATGTGTGGTATAGGTAAATGTAAATGCAATTAAAAAAAGGAACAATTATTGCTCATAGAACATGTAGAAGACTCGGTATTTTTTGTTTTCTCTTCTGTTTTATAATTTATGTAATTTACAAATTAAAGATGTGAATTCCCAATTAAAGGATTTACTAGAGGCTTGTGACTTTTTCTGTCAGCTTGTCATTTGTCAGTACACATGTATTTAAAAACAAGAGGCCCAGGGGCCACAGCGCTCACCTGAGCACATCAGGCTTGAATTTACTCCACCCCGCCCCTCCAAACGTTCATCATTTGAACAAACTAGAATCTACACTACCTGAAGATGATTCCATATAAATATCACTAATCATAGCTTTGAAGTACTTGAAAAGAAGATTTTAAAAGGTTTCCCTATATATCCCTATGTAAAACTTGGGTCGGCCATTTTGGCCCCACCCTAGCCCCGGGGGTCATGATTTGAACAAACTTGAATCTACACTACCTGATGATGATTCCACATGAGTTTCATCTTTCCTGTTCTAGTGACTCTGGAGAAGAAGATTTTTTAAAGATTTTTCCTATATATTCCTATGTATAACTTGGGTCGGCCATTTTGGCCCCACCTTTGCCCCGGGGGTCATGATTTGAACAAACTTGAATCTGCACTATCTGAGGATAATTCCACATGAGTTTCATCTTTCCTGACCCAGTGGTTCTGGAGAAGAAAATTTTAAAAGATTTTTCCTATATATTCCTATGTAAAACTTGGGTTGGCCATTTTGGCCCCACCTTTGCCCCGGGGGTCATGATTTGAACAAACTTGAATCTACACTACCTGAGGATGATTCCACATGAGTTTCATCTTTCCTGGCCTAGTGGTACTGGAGAAGAAGATTTTTAAAGATTTTTCCTATATATTACTATGTAAAACTTGGGTCGGCCATTTTGGCCCCACCTTTGCCCCGGGGGTCATGATTTGAACAAATTTGAATCTACACTACCTGAGGATGCTTCCACATGAGTTTCATCTTTCCTGGCCCAGCGGCTCTGGAGAAGAAGATTTTTTAAAAATGCCATTAATTTTTAACAAATGCATGATTATCTCCCCTTGGAAAAGGGCGTGGCCCTTCATTTGAACAAATTTGAATCCCCTTAACCCAAGGATACTTTGTGCTGAAATTGGTTGAAATTTGGTTGAAATTGGCCCAGTGGTTCTTGAGAAGAAGATGAAAATGTGAAAAGTTTACGACGACAACGACGACTACGACAACGACAACGACAGACAACGGAGAAGTGAGCTAAAAAGTGACAATTTCATTATTCATCAGTAAGCATGGAAAATATTTGTTTTATACAGTTTTCTTCCATTGGTCATCTGTAAAAAATAACATATTTGATTTAGCTATTTCACATTGAAAGTGGCGCTTAAATCGTTAAGATTCCCTCGAGTTTAAGTTTAAATACCCCACTTAAAATCTCAATTCCATCCCTGGTTACTATAGCCAACACTAAAACGAAAGTTAAACTTCCGGGGGTATCTAAAAGTGTAGGTTAGAGGAAAGAAAGAACGTGATAACTAAAACAGGTAATAATCCAGAAATAAATGCTGATTGTGATCAGTTACAGCTGCTGTTGTTATATCTACATTAAAGGGAATTGAAAAGGGGTAGTAATTTATTCTCTGAGAGAGAAATTGCTTAAAACATTAGCATAATGATAATTATTATATAAATTCAGTAGGCTAACTTATTTTACAGGAGAAAAATGTGGTCTCCATCCACTTGGGCACAGGAAGTGATCACGTGTGACCTTTGTGACAACCCAACCCAGCAGTTCTGTAACAGCTGCCAGGTCAGTTTATGTGGGGGCTGTATTAATAAACATGTAGAAAGTCTGAAGTCTCATACGCATGACATTGTTCCTTTTAAAGACAGAAAAGAAAGGCTCGTATTCTCCTCATGTGCTTCTCATCCAAACCAGAAATGTGAGGGACAATGCCAACAGTGTGGTGTTCCCGTCTGCTTCAGATGTGTCACAGGACCCCACGGGGGTCATGCTGTCATAGATATGTCAGAAGTGGTACAACAGATGAAAGAAGAAATCAAGAATGAAACAGAGGAAATTGAGTTGCTTATTTCAAGATTCGCCCTAAGTGGAGCAGACATTGATCAGAAGATATCGAACATGATTGAAAAATTTAAAACAATGGAGAGAGAGGGAGAAAATTTGAGAAAAACCTGGCACAAAGAAGTTGACAATATTTTCGCCACACTACAATCAACCATTAGGAAAATGAAGGATAGAAGACTCTCAGCTCTCAGATCATACCAGTCCAGGCTTCAAGATTCAGGGTCAAAATTAGAATGCATAACAAAAGTAAACAAGAAAATTCTAAAGTCCAATAAAGTGTCTGATGTTGCAAGTTACAAATCAGAATTAAAGGATTTCAGAGACATTCATACAGATGTTGATGTGAAGATTCCTTCCTTAAACAGCAATACAGTCCAGGGGAGTGAACTCAGCATAGAATTAGGAGAATACAAGGCTACATTGATACAGTCATCCATATCTAGTCTGACAGATGAAGTCTCAATTTTATCTATGAGAAAATTATTGGGCAAAGCTAAAGTTATTGCTACCATTCCTTCTAGAATTAAGCCTTTAGGTGCCGTTATATGTATTGGAGCCAATGAAGCTTGGACTCAAGGTAAAGTCAATCTCATTAGACGTATTGACATGCATGGATCTCTGAAGGAGAAGATCACCACCGAATGTAAACAGTATCCGAATGATATTGAAATAACCAGGCAGGGAGAACTGATATACAGTGATGCTAAAAGCAGAACAGTGAACATATTCAGACAGGGGAGATTAGAGACACTGATCACACTACCACTGGGATGGCATCCATTGGGACTGTGCTGTACCAGATCAGGGGACATACTAGTTAGTATGTACACTCCTGATGGAAGTCATTTTAAAATAGTCCGGTATCAGGGACAAACAGCAATACAAGAAATAGATAAATATGACTGGGGACAAAATGTATTTAAAGGTGGGGTAGGAGGAGTTTTTGTGAAGGAGAATAATAATGGTGATATCTGTGCCTGTGATAGGGATGCCAGTACGGTGATAGTGATAGACAAGACAGGAAGAGTCCGATTCCGTTATGATGGTACACCAGCCAGGAGGAATAAACCATTCCAACCTAGAAGGATTGCTACAGATTCACTGAGACAGATCATTATTGCTGATTTTAGTAATGACTGTCTTCATATCTTAGATCAGAATGGACAATTTCTGAGATGTATTGACAATTGTGAACTTCAGAGTCCTGTTGGACTGAGTGTGGACAGTGTGGGGAGATTGTGGGTAGGGTCTTTTAATTCAGGGGAAATGAAAGTGATTCAGTACATTGAGTAAAAGAAACACCCACTGCGATTTCTGTATAAAACACACTAGTGTTACTTTTAAAGAAAGTGGACCTTCAAATTACTTTTGATTTTAAATTCAATCAAATTAAAATCATGAACTGAGTTGTAAAGCAACGTTATCAATATTATTAAAAATGTCCAATTTAACAAATAAAATTAATCTATTCATAATGTTTTACATGATAAAATAAAAGTATTGCAGATTGGATTGAACATACGTTCACTTTAACAAGATCTAGACATAGAGCAGGAAGTGCATGAATAGAGAGAAAAAGACATCACTTTAAAACGTCCAAAGGATAAACATGATCAAGAGGGGACAGAGGCCGAGCCTTGAAATGAAAAGGTTTTAAAGAAAATAATTTTTAAGTTTTCAGACAATAAAAAAAGGCCCTGGACCAATCCAACAAAAACACTATCCGAAAGACCCCCTTTGAAAATTTTTATTGTAGATTTGGACAAGTAGTTTAGTTTTCCCCGTCAAATAAACTTCTAGTCTGACGATAGACAGTGTTAATGCAACCCCCCGGAAAAGTTCCTGAACCTTGTAATGTATACCTTACAGAATGCAAAAAGCTAGAGAGGCATCATAATATTATCTGGAAAGCACAAGCGCCTGTGCTGGAAAGAGAGACTGACCGCACACAAAATTATGCATGGCTCTGGATAATGGATATAATGGATAATGGATATTTTTCCTAATTTGTACCCATTGCAACGCAAAAAATGATTTTCGAAATCCTTACACTTCTATCTACTACTCTCGTAAAAGTGCATTGAATGGATCTGCTACCAAAAATTATATGGTTTCATTTTCATACCAAGAAATGCTAATAGCAACTGTTTTGGGGTTAAATTGTAATGTATACTTGTAAATATAGGATCTCCCATGGTTTGTATTTGGATATGATTTTTATCCAACGAGTTGTGTGATGAAAACACTCAGCGAGTTGGATAAAAAATCATATCCAAATACAAACCATGGGAGATTCTTTTTATCCCATGTTTAATACTTCACGACCGATGTTTTACACAGTTTTTATATTTGACTCCGCTATATTTTACTTCATCACGTTAACGCAAAAACCATTATGACGTCAGAACTGCACTTAAGTGTGGGGTATGAAAACGATATCATATGAGCTGTATCCACGGGATAGAGGAGTAAACATGGGATAAACAGGGAAATTATTATGTTCAATAAATCATACGTCTTCAATGGGTGACATATTCCATTTTGTCATACCAACAAGCTATAGATTTGCAGCTACTTAAGACTGTACTGTGGAAAAAGAAGATTTGAAACATTTCTTCCTCTGGCGAATTCAGAGGTTCGCTCACACTAAGAATTCCATAAGTTAGCTTACACGTGTATATAAAGCTCATGAATTATAAAAAGAAGGAAAATATAAAGGTAAAACTATCATGATTTTATTGTGCATATCAAAATACCTTAGGAAAAATAGATTATTAGAATATGAGATTTAGTACAGCATAATCTTGATGCATGTCTCATATGAATTATTTTTGCATTGGATGATATCAAAATTCAATGTTTCTTGGGAAATATCTGAATTTTTTTTTTTAAATTTTTTATAAATTAGGAATTAACTGATGCTCTTACAACATATACAATATGAATGCAATATTGAATAAGATTTTTGTTTTGGTGAGTTTTTTTTTTGAAAAACTAATCTTTTCGCAGATTTTTTAATACTTTAAAAACTATAAAAATGTAAAAGAATGGTTTTATCTATAATTATGTAAAAATACAAATCGTCGTTCGGCAAGACAATATATTCAATTAGGATTCTGAGACTGTTGAAGCCAATTTGATTAAGTGAAATGTCTTGAGTTATTACATGTACTAGAATTTCTTTGGTATGCAATACTTTGAAAGGCTGTAATAGGAATTTAGCGAATATGAGTTATTGTAGTCTAAACCATTGCAAAATAAAACGAAACATGGATATATAAATATCATCATCATTAGCACAGAACTATTGAATTTGTTGCAGCATTTTTTTCTGTTTAAGTTTCCTGAAAGTATATGCCATAGAAGCTACTTTTAAGGTTGCATGTAACTTCCAATTTATCTAAACTTAAAGAGTTTCTGGGGCTCCAAACTTTTACTTTTACTTTGGCCATATCTTTTGAACAGTAGATACCAGTACTGAGTTTTACTAAAGATCGTAAATTTTACCGTAGACGTAGACGTAAACGTAGACTTTACGACTGAATTTACGTGTGCGTAGATAGCGTTTTACTAAATGTCGTATCTGCGCCCGTAACGTAGCCCTACACGTAAAGATTCTCGTAACTTACGATAGGAACTCTTCAAAAGAAAGGCAAATAAACTATCCTAGTAACGAAAACTGCGCATGCGTATTAGCTACTTTCAATATATTGCGAGTCGTCTGCAAATCATTTTGGTAAAAACAACCAAAACAAAGTAGGCCTAATGGATAAAATTAAATTTCGAAAACCTAACTGGAGTGAGATTGAGCTGGAGGTGCTAATAGAGGCATATTGTAAATGTTTTAAGGTTATTCGGGGCAAATTCTCACCGGCTATAACATCGGATACGAAGAAAAGGGCTTGGGAAGAGATAACAGAAAGGTTTGTTTTTATTTTTATTTATTCATTTAGCTCCGAGACTCCAATCTAATATTTATTTTTTACATTTATCTGATTCCGTACGATAAATTTGCAGCCATAAAGAAATAAATCTATAAACGTCATGATGAAGTTCTTAAATTGCTTGAAAAATATTCAAAGGACACTTCTGTTAGGCCTAGTTAAGAATTAGATATGTCTACATATATTATGTATGCATTAGACCTAATACTTAAAACCACGTAAAAATATATTCATCAACTGAGTTAAGTCGTCTTCGGAGAATGTAACTTATACGCGAATCGGTGTTCTAAATCTTATCAATATTAATATCGATACATGTACATGTTATGGATGTAAGCGAATAAGATATTTAGCAATTTATATAAAGATATCTTTAAGATTTTATAGTTTTATATTTTTTCTCAATGCGAGTTAATGTACTGTGATTTTCCGCCACAATTTGGCCTATAGATCCGCATATTCGTTTCAAATACAAAGCGAAAGTAGAAAAAAAACAATGACGATACTCGATAGACGGTAGTGAATCGAAGATGAACTCATAAAGATAATTCCACATGTACATGTATGATATCTTTTGTACCCATTTAGCAGTGTTTATTATATTATCATAATAATAATGAGCAATAGTAAAATGCTTTTACATATATTTTATAATAAAAAACAGAGTGAATGCTGTATCAGTATCATGCAACAGATCACTAGATGAAACAAAAAAGAAAATACAGGATAGTTTGTCCAGTGTGAAAAAGAAGGAGGCTTTCCGGAAGAGAGAAGCATCAAAAACAGGTGGTGGACCAGGCGCGGATCCAGGATTTGGAGTTAGGGGGGGCGCCAAAATTAGGCAAGGGGTCTGGGGGCCGCCTTGAGGCCCCCAGTGGGTCCAGGGCAAAGCCCTGGTGGGGGCCCAGGGGGCGAAGCCCCCGGAAGCTCCTGGATTCTAGAGATTTTGAAGGGTTAAAATGAGGTCTACCAAAGCCCTGGTGGGGGTCCAGGGGGCGAAGCCCCCGGAAGCTCCTGGATTCTAGAGATTTTGAAGGGTGAAAATGAGGTCTACCAAGTAGACATATTTGATTTACGCTAACTTTGACAATTTTAGGGGGGGCGCGCGCCGGGTGCGCCCCCCTTAAATCCGCCACTGTGGACCCTGTACAGAAATAATTTTTAAGCCATGGGAGGTGTCTGTGAGTATTTGGTAGTGGGTTAAAAGTTACTTTAACATGTTAAAGTTAAAGTGAAGTGAGTAAATAAAAATTATATTTAATCATACATACACAAGGTGATAAAGCGATTGAAAGGTTCCGAGAAAGCGTATTTGAATTTTTTTTCTAGTGATGTTTTTTTATTATATCAAAAAGTAATATTGTAGTCACTTCATTATTATCATGATTACAGTGAAAACTGTCTAATCCGACACCTGATAATCCGACACACTGTGAATTCCGACGTAAAATTTCTTTCCCATTTGAGTATTTTCCATGTTTTTAACACTGTGCAATCCGACACCCTGTCTATTCCGACACAAAATTTGTCTCCCAGTGCATGTCGGATTAGACAGGTTTCACTGTATTTATATGTTTTGTATGCAAACAAATTAAAGCTTACATATTTATATGTACTTTGAATCTTTAGCTTCTTGGTACAATTCCAACAGAGATGATACATGGATTAGAAGGGGCAGTGGATACTAAATCAGATGCAGATCAAGGTAATCCCACATAACGTACTTTAGTATTCACACATGTACAAATGGAAATCACTGTAGGATTTGATATTTTAGGATTTTAAAGGTAAGGCCACACCAATTTAATTTCTTGTTTGTTAGACATTTGATGAAAAAAGTACGAGCGGGTTAGCGGTTAAATAATAATATTATGACTTTTTTGTAGGCAAGATTTTTAGGCGGGGCATGAAAAAATTTGAGCAGACAATTGTATTTTTTCTGATTTGCAGAGTAAGTAGATTAAAGGTACGATAAATAGAGCGGAAATATACAGAAAACAGCACAGAATCCCCAGGGTGCGGGGATTTTAAATGAATATTATTTGACAGTGTATAATTTTGTTTAAATACAAGCATGCAGGTCCGGCAAACATTTTTTTTATTGGTGTGGCCTAATGACTGAATCTTAGCTGCAGAACTGTAGCTCTCAATCTGCTTGAGAATATTCGGACACATAAAGTACTAGTAGAGAGCTACAGATCCAAGGCAAGCATTGTAAAAACCTTCGATTTTATACGCTGATGATTATTTGTCGCTACTGTAGGCTTTTATTTCGTGTAGTTTAATCTTTTTCTGACTATTAGATTGGTATCCTATAATTAATCATATATTTAACTATTACCCTTGATACTTTATATACTTTTTAGCGGTCTTAAACATATGCAAGCAAAATATCTGAAGTGAGCGACAATAAGCTTCAGCGATAATCGAAGGATTTTACAATGCTTGGATCTGTAGCTCTATGCTTTATCTGTCCAAATTTTCTCAAACAGAGAAATACACTTCTGCATCTACATGAATCTCAGACATTTACTTTTCATGAATTAAATGCATATACAAAGAACTTTATCTGTATATGCATATGCTTCATGATTGGAAATCTAGCTGTGAAATTTTGAAAGCATTATACATGTACTGATTTATACTCTTTTTTTTATATCTGATGAACAGGTCAAACAAAGGGGAAATTGGATTTGAATCGTGATTTGAATTGTCCAGGAGCAACTGGAGATTGCAGTGCAACATCTAACAATGTTTCAGGTCAAAGGAATATATATTCATACATTTTGTTTATGGTAATCTGGTTTAGTCATAGAGTTGATTTTATAATCAAAATTCACATTTTTTGAGCCCCCTTCATGAAATTCCCCTTTCCGTCTATCATTATGATGGTCTATTATTCCTTCATTGCTGTAGCTTACCTCAAACTTTTTAAGCAAATTAAATGTGGAATGTAAATATATTTATTTCGACTAGTATGCATGCACTAAGAAAATATTCATCATTTATGAGAAAAAATAAAATTTAATTGGAATTATTCTTACATATGAAAGACATTTTCTTTTATTTTATTCACATACACTGTATGTGCTATCTAATACATGTATATTACATCAAGATTTTTAAATTTTAGAATGTGTGGTTGACATACATGTAACATCTGAAGAGCCCTCAATTCCATGTACTGGTATGTATACATCTATACTTGATATCTGACACTTTTCATTCATTATTCATAGCTCACCTGAGCAGAAAGCTCAAGTGAGCTTTTCTGATCACATTTTGTCCGGCATCTAACTGTCTGTCAGTAAACTTTTCACATTTTCGACTTCTTTCTAAAACTACAGGGCCAATTTCAACTAAACTTGGCACAAAGTATCCTTGGGTGAGGGGGATTCATGTTTGTTCAAATGAAGGGCCACGCCCTCATTCAAGGGGAGATAATTGAGAATTTATAAAAATTTGGTGGCATGTTTTAAAAATCTTCTTCTCAAGAACCACTGTGCCAGGAAAGATGAAACTTATATGGAAGCATCCTCAGGTAGTGTAGATTCAAGTTTGTTCAAATCATGACCCCCCGGGGTAGGGCGGGGCCACAATGGCCGACCAAAGTTTTACATAGAAATATATAGGAAAAATTCTTTTAAAATCTTCTTCTCAAGAACAGCAAAGCCATAATTGATCATATTTATATGGAAGCATCCTCAGGTAGTGTAGATTCAAGTTTGTTCATGTTGGACATTTATATTTCACATATTTACTTTATTTTTTTATTTCTGTGTATATGTATTCTTTAATTTTTTTTTCTTGGTACTTTTTTTATTTAAGGGTACAAATACAAACTGTCTATGAGATACTTTTCATGACTTAAAAAAACCTTCACACATTTAAGCTGTTTTAAAATGAATTAAATTATTGCATAAAAGTTCTCATTTAAATTCTTCATTATATGACATTTCTAATTAAATGGAAATGGTAAAGCCAATATATGGTGCGTTTTGATAATTTCAGATAAATAAAACACGAGGACATCAAAGTACAAAAACTGGTCCTAATATATCATTTGAGTTAAACTCTGAATCCCCCTTCTGAAATCTTCAACCCACTCCTCTATATTTGTACAATACTAAACCGAAAGTTAAACTTCCGGGGCATTCAAAGGGGCGGGTTAAAGGAGAAAAGAATGAAATAGTTTAAAGAGAAAATCAAGAAAATATTGCTGATTAAGGTGAGTTACATCCGCTTTTATTACATTTAAGATAGAAGTTATCGAATTCCGGGATTGGGGTTAAAATTTTCTTTTGAGAGAAATCGAGTAAAAGTTAATCATATTATTATATTACATAAATCCAACAGGCCAGGTAAATTTTACAGGAGGAAGATGGCGACTTCGTCTACTTGGGCACAAGATGTGATTACGTGTGACCTTTGTAACAACCCCACCCAGCAATTCTGTAACAGCTGTCAGGTCAGCTTGTGTGGGGACTGTATCAATAAACATATAGAAAGTCTGAAGTCTGAAACACATGACATTGTTCCTTTTAAAGACAGAAGAGAACGGCTCGTATTCTCTTCATGTACGTTTCATCCAAACCAGAAATGTGAGGGACATTGCCAACAATGTAATGTTCCCGTCTGCTTCAGATGTCTCACAGGTCCCCACAGCGGCCATACTGTCAAGGAGATGTCAGAGGTGGTACAACAGATGAAAGAAGAAATCAAAAAAGAAACGGAGGAAATTGAGTCTTTTATTTCAAGATTCGTCATAAGTGGAGCAAACATTGATCAGAAGATATCTAATTTGACTGAAAAATTTAAAACGATGGAGAGAGAGGGAGAAAATCTGAGAAAAACCTGGCATGAAGAAGTAGACAACATTTTCGACACACTGCAATCAACCATTAGAAAAATGAAGGATAGAAGACTCGCAGCTCTCAGATCACATCAGTCCAGACTTCAGGATTCAGAGACAAATTTACAATGTATTACAAAGGAAAACAAGAAAATCTTGAAATCCAATAAAGTGTCTGATGTTACAAGCTACAAATCAGAATTAAAGGATTTAAGGGACATTCCTACAGATGTTGATGTGAAGATTCCTTCCTTAAATAGCAACACAGTTCAGGGGAGAGAACTCAGCATAGAATTAGGAGAATACAAGGCTACACTGACACAGACATCACTATCCAGTCTGACAGACGAAGTCTCCAATTTATCCGTGAGAAAATTATTGGACAAAGTTAAAATTATTGCAAGCATTTCTACTGGAATAAAGCCGTTAGGTCCCATAATATGTATTGGAACCAATGAAGTTTGGGCTTGTGGTGAAGACAAAGTCATACAACGTATTGACATACATGGATCTTTGAAGGACAAGATCACCACCGACTGTGAACCTTATCCTTCTGACATTTCAGTGACCAGGCAGGGAGAACTGATATACAGTGATGTTGAGAGAAGAAAAGTGATGATTGTCAGACAGGGGAGGATAGAGACACTGATCACTTTATCTCCAGAATGGCATCCTGTGGGACTATGTTGTACCAGATCAGGGGACTTACTACTTAGTATGTGTACTATTAATGAAAGTCATTACAAAATAGTCCGCTATCAGGGACAGTCAGCAACACAAGAAATAGAGAAAGATGAATGTGATCAACCAGTTTTTAAAGGTGGTGAATATGGAGTTTGCGTAGAGGAGAATAACAGTGGTGATATCTGTGCCTGTGATAGGGATGCCAGTACGGTGATAGTGATGGACAAGACGGGAAGAGTCCGATTCCGTTATGATGGTACACCAGCCAAAAGGAATGACTTGTTTAATCCTGAACACATTTTGACAGACTCGCTGAGCCAGATCATAATAAGTGATTTTAATAATGACTGTCTTCATATCTTAGAACAAAATGGACAGTTTCTGAGATGCATTGACAACTGTGGACTTGTGAATCCTGCTGGACTGAGTGTGGACAGGGAAGGGAGGTTGTGGGTAGGGTTACGTGCTTGGGGTGAAGTAAAAGTTATCCAATACCTGTAGTGCATGGAGTAAAAAATCATGCACTGTGAAACATGTATATGTATAATTAATATTGTTACTTTTTAAGATTTAAGGACGCATATTGTCTATAGCTTAAAACATGTATAAATCAAATTTAATTAAGAAAGTAACAATTAAGAGTAATTCAAAGTTCTTTATATTAAATGATATAAATTTAAACCCAAAATAACATTATCATATATTATGCTTAGGTTAATAAGTATGTCAACTTTTTAGTTATTGTGTGTGCATGCTCTTTATCGGGTGAATAAAACCAGTACCTGTAATATTGTTTCAGTTTGTGTCTTTATCTAGTATTATTATTCCCTTAGTATGATACAGATAATAATAACACCAAGTAGAGGAGACCTGAAAACTGTCTATGCTATCACAAAAAAAAAATCGTGGGAACACAAAGATTAAAGTTTAAATTACATAGGGAAGGAGTCTTAGTTAGGACAGTGTCTGCTCTGTGCCTAAGAAAAACTTTGAAAACGCTTAGAAGTTGAGATGGAGATAAAGATTGTTCCGAAATAACAGAGCAGGAATTAAAATTGAAAAATCAAAAAACAACAAAGTATCAGGGGCAGGCAATAATAAGGCTGAAATAATGAAAGAAAGTGAAGATTGAATTATTAGTCTTCTATACTCTATTACAACAACAAGATCTTGATATAGAGAAGAAAGTGTCTGAAAAAAGCACCATTGTACCTCATCTAAAGCAATGCGTAATCTAGAAGGCATTGAAATTATCGCAGAGGTTATAGATTTTGCGGACAAACAAAGATACAGAGGAACAGGACAGAAACAGATACCCCCGAATCTTTGATTTCAGAGACTTAATAAAAGCCATTGAAGATCTTTCTCTTTCTTTGAAGCGTAATACGACGTACTCAACGTATAGTTTTCAACATAAATTACTTATCTACCTGTTAAAAGTTTAATTTCTTATTCTTTGCATCAATAAAAGTTCCAATCATTGAAGAATTATTTGCAATTTAATGATGCCTGCATGGTAATAGATAATGTACATCTCCCCTAATTCCATTTTTATTTTGGCAATACAAGAAAAAACTTATCTTATTATGATGGCATATTTATGCCATCCATATAACTTTTTGTTAACATAGCATTTAATGTCAGATCAAGATAACTATTTCGTCAAGTCATTATGACTTTCTGGTGTGTCGTCAAACGCCGACTTTATATCTTGTCCAGTCAAGAGCAGCAATCGTATTTTTGCAACAGCTATTTTATTCATGATAGATAAGTTATCTTGTCATGTCAAGACAGCTATCGCAACAAATGTGATAGCTCATATAGGGAGGGCGGTCCACATTCCACTTATTTCTTGATACAACTTAGTTAAATACTTTAAGAAGAAAGAATGGTACATGCATAAGAATTTACATACGAAGAAGGAAAACTTATTAAAATTATCACTATGAGCTGCAAAGTTGACACGACAAAATGTTGTTGCAAATTTATAATAAACTATTTCAATGATAGAAAAATAGAACATTTATAACTATGAGCTGCAAAGTTGACACGACAAAATGTTGTTGCAAATTTATAATAAACTATTTCAATGATAGAAAAATAGAACATTTATAAACTATTTGCGATGGAAGAACATTTTATTAGCTTTAATTGAAGCAAAATGACATTATTGTCGTCCTGTGCATTATTGATTCCTTGTAATATGTTCTACGGTGCGACGGTGGGGCGAGCGCAGTTATTTACCATCAAAGACCTTTACACAGCTTTTACTTGCACTGCCTATCCTCAGTTCATTAAAAATTAGAAGCCAGGCGTTGTGATCGAGATTCAAACTACTAAAAGAAGTGCAAAAATATTAATATTTGCGTTCAAATCTGAATCCCCCTCCAAAATTCGTAAAACCACCTCTCTTACTAAACTGAAAATTAAACTTCCGGTGATATTTCAAAGGGGCTGGAATCACAATAATTTAAACAGAAAAAAATGCTGATAGAGTTGTGTTACATCTGCTTGGTAAAGGGTTTGCATAATGGGGGTATTAATTAATTCTTTGTGAAAGAAATTGACTAAATATCATGTGTAACGCTAAATCCCTTCCTAAATTCTTAAATTCACCCCTCTTACTATGAACTAGACTCTTATTTCCTTTCTCATTCGCAGAAATGTATACCGTGGATATCAGACAGGCAAGCCAGTTTAACTATGTAAAATACTAAATCGAAAGTTAGACTTCCGGGGTTATTCTAAAGGGGGAAGTTAAAGGAGAAAAGAACGCATTAATTTTAACAGAAAACAAGAACAAATTCCTGATTTGGGTGAGTTACGTCTGCTCCTAAAATATTTACGATAGAGGGGATTGCGAGATTTGGGCATAAATGAATTCTTCTTTGAGAGTAATTCGAGTAAAAGTTAAGCAGTAATATGTAACAAAAATCCAACAGGTTAACTTTATCTTACAGGAGGAAAATGGCGACATCGTCTGTTTGGGCACAAGACGTGATCACGTGTGATCTTTGTGACAACCCCACCCAGCAGTTCTGTAACAGCTGCCAGGTCAGTTTGTGTGGGGGCTGTATTAATAAACATGTAGAAAGTCTAAAGTCTGAGACACATGACATTGTTCCTTTTAAAGACAGAAGAGAACGGCTTGTATTCTCCTCATGTGCTTCTCATCCAAACCAGAAATGTGAGGGACATTGCCAAAAATGCGATGTCCCCGTCTGCTTCAGATGTGTCACAGGTGACCACATCGGCCATACTGTCAAAGACATGACAAAGATTGTACAACAGCTGAAAGAAGAAATCAAGAAAGAAACTGAAGAAATTGATACTTTTATTTCAAGATTCGCCAAAAGTGGAGAAAACATTGATGAGAAGATATCTAAAATGACAAAAACATTTAATGCAATGGAGAAAGAGGGAGAAAATCTGAGAAAAACCTGGCATGAAGAAGTAGACAGTATTTTCGACACACTACAATCAACAATGAGGAAAATGAAGGATAGAAGACTCACAGCTCTCAAAGCACATCAGTCCAGGCTTCAGGATTCAGTGTCAAAATTACAACGTGTGGCAAAAGAAAAAAAGAAATATCTGAAGTCCAATAAAGTCTCTGATGTTAGAAGTTACAAATCAGAACTAAAGGAATTGAAGGACATTCCTAAAGATGTTGATGTGAAGATTCCTTCCTTAAATAGCAACACAGTTCAGGGGAGAGAACTCAGCATAGAATTAGGAGAATACAAGGCTACACTGACACAGACATCACTATCCAGTCTGACAGATGAAGTCTCCATTTTACCTGTGCGAAAATTATTGGCCAAAGCTAAAATTATTGCTATCATTCCTTCTGAAATAAAGTCCTTAGGTCCCATTATTTGTATTGGAACCAATGAAGCTTGGGCTCGTGGTCTAGACAAATTCATAAGACGTATTGACATACATGGATCTTTGAAGGACAAGATCGACACCAAATGTAAATCGTATCCCTATGACATTTCAGTGACTAGACAGGGAGAACTGATATACAGTGATTATAACAGAAGAACAGTGAACATCATCAGACAGGGGAAGATAGAGACACTGATCACTCTACCTCGGGGATGGCATCCAGATGGTCTCTGCTGTACCAGATCAGGAGACTTACTAGTTAGTATGTTTACTCAAGTTAGTATGTTTACTAAAGATAAAAGGCATTTCAAAATAGTCCGCTATCAGGGACAAACAGCAACACAAGAAATAGATAAAGATGACCGCGGACAAAATATATTTAAAGATGGAGAATATGGAGTCAGTGTTAAAGAGAATAACAATGGAGACATTTGTGCCTCTGATATGGATGCCGAAACAGTGATAGTGATGGACAAGACGGGAAGAGTCCGATTCCGTTATGATGGTACACCAGCCAGGAGGAATAATCCATTCCGACCTATGGACATTGCCACTGACCCACTCAGCCAGATCATTACAAGTGATGTAAACAATGACTGTCTTCATATCTTAGATCAAAATGGAGAGTTTTTAGGATGTGTTGACAATTGTGGACTTGTGAATCCTGTTGGACTGAGTGTGGACACAAAGGGAAGTTTATGGGTAGGGTGTTTTGATTCAGGGGAAATAAAAGTCATACAGTATATGGAGTAAAAAGAAACACCCACTGCGATTTCTGTATAAAATACACTAGTATTAGTTTTAAAGAAGATGGACCTGCAAATTACTTTTAATTCTAAATACAATCAAATTTAAATCATGAACTGAGTATTTAGAGCAAAACTCTTAATATTATTAAAAAGTGTGCAATTTAACAAGCAACACTTATCTAATCTATTCATTTTTTTTAACAAGATAAAAGAAAAGTATGATAGATTGGATTGAACGCAAGCTATGGAATTCTTGATTGTCAATGTTTTGTCGAGGCTAACAGATTAACCACTAATGCAAACAACATGCAAGAAGTAGCGGTATGTGAAACATGACCCTTAAATAACTTGACTTTATCTCTCGAAAAGTTATGAACATTTTTATTCTCATAAATGTGTATTTTTAGGTAAATTGGGTCCTTGTTTACTGAAAATGTATATTTTTATGCAGATGTGGAATATGTAAGTGTTCTTTAAAACAACCTATTCATTTGAAAATGATTTTGTTATTCAATAACAAAAAACATATTGACCCACTTTTGTATGCACATGGTATCTCAAAGACAAATAAATTCAATATTTGCGAAAGTGTTTTAAGTTGTATCTTTATTTACTGTCATTAACTTAGAGCAGGAAGTGCATGAATAGTGTGGAAAAGACATCACTTTGAAACATTCAAAGGAACGTCATGATCAAGAGCAAGTTGGAATCAAGACGCCCTAAGAAGTTAAAAGCTTTTAAATTTATAGGAAATAAAAGAAGACTCTATCCTCCGAAAAAGACACTATCCAAACAACCCCCGCTCCTCTGATTTTTCTTGCTTAGACTTGGGCAAGTTGTTGAGTTTTTAGCTCACCTGAGCCGAAGGCTCAAGTGAGCTTTTCCGATCAAAATTTGTCCGTTGTCTGTCCTCGTTGTCGTCGGCGTCGTCGTCGTCGGCGTAAACTTTTCACATTTTCATCTTCTTCTCAAGAACCACTGGGCCAATTTCAACCAAACTTGTCACAAAGTATTCTTAGGTGAAGGGAATTCAAATTTGTTAAAATGAAGGGCTACGCCCGCTTCCAAGGGGAGATAATTATGAATTAGTGAAAAATTAATGGCATTTTAAAAAATCTTCTTCTCAAGAACCACTGGGCCAAGAGAGATGAAACTCATGTGGAATCATCCTCATGTAGTGTAGATTCAATTTTTTTCAAATCATGACCCCCGGGGCTAGGGTGGGGCCAAAATGGCCGACCAAAGTTTTACACAGGAATATGTAGGAAAGGAGTACAAGGAATATTCCGAGAAGAGAATATGGTTCATCAGCAAGACGGAATTTAATGGTGAATTTTAATGAGGCGGAAAACGTTAATTCGCCTATTCATGCGAGTACTCCAGCATTTTCAGAGCCGGACCATCAGACCGACTTTAATCAGGAATCCAGTGAAAGCGAAACTTCACATGAAAAACTTCATGTGTTTATGGGGTTGGTATTTCTGGCAGGAACTGTAGGTTTATTCCTTTTGTATAAATATTTCCCAGGATACATGCTGCTATGCCTTACGCGGGAATTTCTGATGACAGGAACGCTGGCAATCTCGTGCGTTATACTTAGTATTATTTGCAAGCTGGCATTTAGAGATGGTCTTGTAAGTTGGCGCAACAGAAACACAGAAAGGAATTTAACATCAAGTACCCCTATACCACGACGAACTCCGAGTCTCTCGCCAGGCGTTAACCAGAATGTAATGTCAGGTGTTCAAACCTCCCCATCTAGGGTCCCCAATACAAGGAATACACCAGCGCAACAGATAAATGTGAAAAGAACATTTAAGGGAGTTGGCACAGATATTTGGAGTGAATACATACGATATTTTGAAAATATTTCAGAATTAAATGGCTGGGATAATGACAGAAAACGCAAAGTAGTGTTGCGGGGACAGGCGGAAACATTCTGTTACAGATTATCCAATTCCGAGCGGAGCGACTGGAAACTCTTAACAGAGTCGATAAACCGGAGATTTGGTCACATTGCCATGAAAGAGAGCTACATTTCGGAAGCAAAGTTGTGATTTAAGAAGCATAGTGAGACTTTCCGAGATTTTGGACAAGCTATCCAAGATTTATACAGACGAGCTTATCCGGAAAGCAGGGAATATGTACAGGAAGCTAGTTTCAAGACTTTTCTTGACAACTGTAGTGATTCAGAGGAGTTTCGTTTAGCTGTTAAGAGAACACGACCAAAGACTATTGATGAAGCGGTTACAGCAGCAATGCAGGTAGAGTGCATTAGACTCACAGAGAACCAGAAACCTAGAGATCAAAGGATTATGAAACCCCCAATTTACCAGGTTTGGTCAAATTCTACTAAACCAGAATTTAAGACGGATATGACAGAGCCACGGGATTCAATTCAGAGACGGTACTATAACAACAATAATAATGTGACGGCAGGTACGAATTATCAAGCGAGGGACAAGAAATTGTGCTATCATTGTAACTCAAGTAAACAATTAATCCGAGATTGCCCAAAGAAAGCAACTTCAAAGAAAATGCAAAACACAGGTGCGACTTCCCAAAACAGAAAGAATCAGGAAACACCCGAGCAGCAGTTAAACGACATTCGACCGAGGCAGTAGGCCGTGTGTCGGTCACAATGCACCACAGGCCTAATACATTGGATTTGCAACATTCCGTTTCAGAGAACAGGGAGACCAGAAATGAAGCTAAATTGCTTGAGAAGCTTTCTGTAGTAAACTCTGAGGAAGGAGAATCTCCAGTTTCTAATAAGGAAGCGGATGTAATTGATGCAACGCACATCGGTGTGAACTCCAAGCAGGGCGAGGTCCAGAAATACCAGAAATTTAAGGTTAAAGGATCCTGTGACATGAGGATCATTGGATGGGTAGAAGGGAATCCCCTTGAATGGAAAATCGATACAGGTGCGGTTAATACCTTTATTACGGAAGATAAATTTTATATTATCTTACCGGAGGTTAGACCTGTGCTGGAACGCGTGCATAAGAAATTTCACATAGCTGATAGAAATGAATTACAGATTCTAGGAACTGCAAAGATGATTTTAAGTTTGGGAGAAAAAGACATTTTATTTCGTGTTTTTGTTGGAGGAGTTAAGTGCAATCTCCTGGGTTAGGATTTCATGAGACAATTTAAGTGCAACTGGGATTATAGTGAAAATTCGTTGGTGTTAAATTTTAAATCGTACAATCAAGGAGGAGAATTCAGTCATAAAACTTTGCGGGTTTTGTCCATAGCGGATTGTGTTATAACCGGGCGACATGAAACTTTAATTAAAACTAGGATACGATGCACGGAAAATCTAGGTGATGGAATTTTATTGCATGGTTCATGCATGTTTATGGATTAGTTGTAAACGCCGACCAAAAGGAAGTGTTTGTGCGTGTATTTAATCCGTGTGATAACGATGTTTTGGTGAAAAAGGACACAGATGTAGCACTGTTTTCACCTGTGAATTATATTAGTGAACATATTCATGAACAAGGAGTATTTGATGTAGATTTTGTAAGGAAATCTGAGGATTTGCCTGAACATCTAAGGAAGTTGTATTCAGATGGATGTGAACATTTAGCAGAGGAAGAAAGTACATGTACTACTTTCAAGGAATTTTTATGGAATTCAAAGGAGCATTTGCTGACCCAAACCAACCAATGGAGCGTGCTAATTTTAGAGAGCATTGCATTAAATTGAAAAATGAATCGCCGTTTAAGGAACCACCCACGCGAGTCCCTATATTTAAAAGGGAAATACTGGACACGGAAGTTCGGAATTTAGAGAAGCATGGACTTATAGAGGAATCTATTAGCCCTTGGTCATCGTCCCTTGTCCTGGTGCAGAAAAAGGACAAAAGCTGGAGAGTTTGTGTAGACTATAGGACTTGTGTCTTATTACAGGAAATTCATCAAAAACTTTGCCGAAATAGCAAAATGTTTACATGCACTCACAAGTAAAAAGTCTAAATGGGAATGGACGAATGAATGTGAAAATGCATTTCAAATGCTGAAATCAAGACTATTGACTGCTACCATACTAGGATATCCAGATACGGATGGAGGTGTATATATTCTAGACACTGATGCTAGCAACAACGCAATTGGAGCTGTTCTGTCACAAATTCAAGATGACAAGGAAATAGTTATTGAATATGCTAGCCGAACTTTGAATAATGCAGAGAGAAATTACTGCGTTACTCGGAAAGAAATGCTAGCGCTTGTGTATTTTATAAAGCATTTCAAACATTATTTGCTCGGGCGGGAGTTCATTCTTAGAACTGACCACGGATCATTAGTTTGGCTGCACAAATTTCGGGAGCCAGATGGACAAGTAGCGAGATGGCTTCAACAACTGGGACCAAACGTATTTCGGATTGTGCACAGACCGGGTAAACTCCATGGAAATGCTGACGCATTATCCAGAATCAGTGACAGTTTTATCTGTAAACAATGCAAGCGCGACGTTCACGAAGAATCGACAGAGGAAACTTTCACTCATGTAGACGAATTAAGAAAACTATGTGAATCCCCGGATTGCTACAAACAGAACACAGAAGTTTTAGATATCGGATGTTTGTTATATCCCGGAAGTTATCCAAATCCGGATGCGTGTCAAGTAGAAACAACAACTGAAAACAGTAAAACGGCTGGGCGTAAGAAAGTCAAAAACAGACCCCCTCCAGCGAGGCAACGGAAACAACCAACAGAGTCTCTTGCAATTGAAAATATACGTAAGCACCAACATGAAGATCATGAGATGTCTGAACTACTGCGCTTAAAAGAGAAATTGGATTCTGCTAAACCTGCGATAAGTTCTATTTCTCATACCAGTTTTGAATTCAAATTCTGGTATTCTAGGTGGGAAATGTTAACCGTTGATCGCGGTTTGTTATGTTACCGGTGGATAGAAAAAGACAGTGAAACACTTAAAATTTGTATTCCTAGGACTTTACGTGACAGTGTAATGTGGTATTTACATGATTCAAAAACTGCCGGATACATGGGAGGACTATTTCAAAGTTAATGAATAGTCAGTACTACTGGCCGCAGCTGAAGCGATATGCTCAAGATTATGTATCGTCATGCTATATTTGTGAAGAGAGGAAAAATCCAACAAGGAAAAAGCTATCTTCCATGAAAACGTATTTAAGAGGTATTTAAGAGGTGACAGGTTTCAGAGAATAGCCGCGGATATTGCAGGACCATTTCCCAAATCAGAAAATGGATACTTGTACATACATTTGTATTAGTCGTCGCTGATTATTTTACTAAATTTTGTGAAATTTATCCCTTACGTGATATGGAAGCTGAAACAGTGGCAGAAACATTATTCAGAGGTTGGATTAAACAATACGGATGTCCGTTAGAAATACATTCTGATCAATGAAGACATGTTGAAAGTCAATTATTTCAAGAAATGTGCAGATTACTTCAGATCAACAAAACACGGACAACTGCTTACTATCCGCAGTCTGACGGGTGGTAGAGCGATTAAACCGAACTATAAAGGAAATGTTATCGAAATACATTTCAGCTCATCA